TCGTATTAATTCTCCTCCTTTTCATCTCTCGATCTGTCTCTGCCTCTCTGCCCTTGTCTGTATGTCTGTCTCTGTCTCTCTGTCCTTGTTTGTCTGTTTGTCTGTCTGTCTATGTCTGTTCTCTCTGTTCTCTCTCTCTCTCTCTCTCTCTCTCTCTCTCTCTCTCTCTCTCTCTCTCTCTCTCTCTCTCTCTCTCTCTCTCTCTCTCTCTCTCTCTCTCTCTCTCTCTCTCTCTCCAGATTTATATTTATATTTGCTTTTCTTACTTAAAAATATCAAATCTTATGTCAGGTGGAATAAATTTCACAGAAAAGATAATTCAAGAAGTACATCCATTATCTCCAAATATGAGATAAATCCATATTGAAGAATATTTAGATGTTTTGTAGTAGAAAACATCGATTGAATATTACAACACAAAGGAGAAAACTTGAATCTTATCCGAGTGCAGCACTATTAAAAGGAATAGATGATTTCATAGGCAAGAGTAATGTATGTAAAGATGAAATCGTACTTTTTGCTCACATATTGGCGGAAACAATATATAAAGTAGAACGATATATATGCTATTATTACTTATTTCACGCTCTATTTACTTATTTCTACCAAGGTTAAGGGTAAGGCGGAATAAGTTTTAATAATCTTTAGTGGAAAAAATCGGGCAAATAGATTCAAGTAGATTTTCACTGTAACAAATCATTTCTTTTCATGTTTTGGGAAAATGTTCGAATTTCTAAAGGAAACCACAACACGGACGCTCGCATGTCAAGTCAGAATCAGCTGTTACCGAATTTATTCAAATAAGCATTAATGAACCTAATAGAAAGAAGATATAACTGAACGAAAACACAAAATCGGAAATGCATGCTACGATAATTTAAATAAGAGATTTAAAAACACCTGGAAAATATAGACGCTCGTTACCCCCTCCCGATTCCCGTCCTGTGATTGGTCGATTCAAAAGAGTTCCGCGGACGTGTTAAAGGGAAAGGGGTGGTCGTGTCTCGTCTTATTTTTCCACATATGGATTCATTTTAACGTCAGATAGGTCGAAAAACTAGGGTAAGTATGCATGAAGTGTCGGTGCATCCCTTAAAGATAAGAGAGTGTCGAGATGAAGAGCCGTTTGAGTGGAAATTGTGGTTAAAAGTGTAGTCTGAGGGACTTTGTTTTGAGCGAAGTTAAAAGTCCCGTCAGAGTGATGCGTGTGTCTGTTATGTTTTGTATTTTCTGTTATTTTCCCTTGTTTTCTTTCTGAAATTCGTTTACTCTAGTGCTTTAGTTATTTTGTAATGTTTTGTTGGGAATTACTACCCTACACTATGTGATTTTGAAAGAGTTATTTGAATTTGTGTGAAAACGAGAAAGGAAAACATGGTGGTTTCGAGATCAGAGCGCCTTTTGAATGTAAATAATGATAAATTCCAGTATCTTTTTACCTTTGCGAGTGTTTTAAGTCAATATTTAATACGATATTGACTTAGGTTTATGAGGTATACTCCTCGTTCCGGAATTTTTTGATGTGAAGGCTAATGTAACAGTAAAATTTAAATGGGTTTCGGTACCTTAGGGCTAATGAAACGGTTCTGGTTGCTACGCCCAAAGCGGTTTCCTTTATTTAAAAATAAATTGGCGTTCTAGGGAATATTGCGGTTGATAATTCATTGGAAGGAGGTATACTTTAAAAAAATGATAGGGTTATAGATTTGAGTTGGCAGCAGTTTGGTTACTTTTAAGTATTGGTGCCATTATAGTTTTAAGGGAAAGTTTCAAGTTGGTTGTACTTTTGGTACAAGGGAAACAGTACATGGAAATGTTAGTGCGATGAATTCGAAAATACATCAGTAAATTTATACATCTGCTCACTGTAAACTTTACTTCGTATAGTCTTGTAAGATTGACCTTGAATCCTTCCTTGGAACTTCTTATCAAAGAACAAAAAATATGTATTGTGGTTTATTGGCCTTTACTAGAGGTGTATAACATGGCGGTCAGATTGACTGCTTGACTCCATGTCACCTGTTTGAAGTGAAGACTGCAGGACTAGCATTGTAGTTTGCAGTAAGTTATAAGTGGATTTGGATAGAACGGTCATTTTCTAGAAGTCACTGCAGGTCTTTTGTACATTTTTACCCATTTTTGTTCTATGCTGTACATGTCACAGATTGAAAATACAGTTTTATCGAAAAGGTAAATTAGTAACAGATCCACTGAAATAGTTGTCATAGCCTGCTTGCTGCCACCATTCTGGCAAAAGCCAACGGACTTCCAATCTGTACATTCTAGCAGGATAGAGCTCCTTATTTGATGAAAAAAGTTTGGGAGGTCTGTGAACCATAGGTATGATGGTCATAGTCATGGTGTTAGAAGAAAGAGAAGGTCCGTTTTTTTTTTTTTTTTTTTGTTTGTATTATTATTATTATTATTATTTTTTTTTTTAAACATTTCCAATTTGAGACAATTATATAACAATGATAGAGGATTCTTTGCTCTGTTGATTCCATATGCTGTTTACCCTGTATTGTATCTAAGTGTCTTAAACCTTAGTATATCAGAAGAATATTGCAGATGATGAAAAATTATATGTGGTAGGAGAGAGAATTACCTTGCCTTTAATTATCAGTATTGCTTATTTCCCCTTTCTTTTTTTCTTTTCTCTATCTGTAAAGAATGACTTTTATCATAGTTCAGTAAGGTGAATTTAAGGGAATAGGGCCACCAAATCCGTTATTTTTTCTCAGTTGACTATTGTGATTCATGAACTAGGTTGCTAATGTAATGTATCTGTCTGTGTCTATCCATCTGTCTTGCTCACTCTAAATATTTGTCTGTCTGTCTATATCTGTGTCTTGTCTATTTTTATCTGTGTCTGTCTGTCTATCTATATCTGTCTGTCTGTGTCTGAATCTATCTGTCCATTGATCTATATCTATCTGTCCATCTACTTATCTCTATCAATCTGTCTGTCTGTCTATATCTATCTATCTATCCATCCATCTATTTTTGTATATATCCTCTATATCTGTGTTGGTCTGTCTATATATATCTGTGTTGGTCTATATCTGTCTGTCTATCTATATCTATATCTGTGTCTGTCCATCTACTTATATCTATCAATCTATCTGTCTGTCTATATCTATCTATCTATCTATCCATCTATTTATGTATATATCCTCTATATCTGTGTTGGTCTGTCTATATATCTGTCTGTCTATATCAATCTATATCTATCTATATATGTATACACCACCTATTTCTTTTGTCATCTATCCATTACAATGTACTTACATTCCAGCAGTAAAGTAAATTGTAGACCACTGTTGTTACTGTGGATCACAATGATATTGTTTATGTTGTGGAGGTAATTTAAAGATGGTCTGAGTGACTTACTCATTTTTCTTTTCTTCACCCCCCATAGGAGATGGTGGTCACAGATTCATTATACAGTCTCTACCTCCGTGCCCAGGAGAAGTACAATGAAGGCTGTAACGATTTTGAGGTAAGTGGTTCTGCTGGTTTTGTTTTTATGATACTCTGCTTTTTCTCTCACTTTTTTCCCTCTCTGTTGAGGTGTTATGAACGTCACGGAGTAGCTCTCCATTTTATAACATAGAGAAAGCGAGAAGTAAGATACAGGGATCCAGTTTGCCAGCTTTGAAAGTCATGAGTATCCAGAGGAACATAAATGAGTAATCCATTTCTGAAAGACTGAGGCAGTACGACAGTGGAACCAGAAAACAGTGCGTCATGGAGAGCTTGTTAGTGACGTATGTGTCACCTAATATAATGATCATTACTTTTTAATCTTGAATTTATGTGATACTGATAGGGCTGTATTGGAGCTTATATAGAATTTAGTTCTTGTAATTTATAATTGATGTGAATTAATGTTTAAATGCCTGTCTATGCCTTACATCCCATTCATGTTCCAGGAGCACTTTACGTGGCTCGAGGAGGTTGTGTCAGCAGCTTGCGATACGTTTGCCACAACCGATCCCTCTCTCTTGCCAAAGACACCGGGGGTAAGAAGGACAAAGAAAAGGGCACTTCAGCCAGCGTTAACAGGTAAAGTCTGTTCTTTATGTGCTTTTTTCCTTGCAGGGATAGACACTTTGTTGTTAATTTTGTTATATTGGAATGGGTTTGTTTGCATTGCTCTTCTACTGCTGCTGCTGGTGTTATCACTATCATAAATTATTATTATTGTTGTTTTATTTTATGTTTTGTGATCAGTATTTTCAAACATGCTCTCTCTCCAGGTTAACAGATGTGTGTAGGTGCTAATGAAATGAACCAATATATGCTTCCTAAAGGGGGGGGATCCATGTTTGTGTTTTGCCAGTATAAACTACTATATTACTGAAAAGTGGTTATATTGCTTCCATCAGCACATTAACTCTCCTTCTCTCTCTTTCTCTCTGAAAAGATATTTCAGAATCTCCTCCATCAAAAAGGGTATCCACTGAAGATGCCAATAATAAGGATAATGCCACAACTCCAACAGAAGCGCCTGCCAGAAAGGGAAGGGCAGCTGCAAGGGTATGTTGAAATTCAAAGCATTTTTTGTTACATGGAATTTTCACACTTAGTCTACTCTTGTACACATGAAAAAGACAATCATATTTTAATTGGCTGTGGTAGTTCATGAACGAGTTGAAAATTACTGTGGCTATTTATCACGAATTCATGGTCTCTTGTCAGGTTTATTTTAAAATTCTTGAAATGTAATTTATCCCGTGTAGGTGGCGCAGTCAAAGACCAGGCAATATGTACAGCAGTCTATCAAGTTCAAACTAAGGCGTCCTTCGACACCAGAGGACCCCAGAAGGAATAAGACCACACCCTCTTCAAGTGATTGTGCAAATTCAGCCAGAAAGATCAGGTATGTCAGATACCTTTCAGGAGGGTCACAACTGTTGCGAAGGCTAACAGACTTAATGGTTCCTGTTATAATTTTTCATAAATGCAGTTCAGTTCATGCATTTAGAAAGATTTATTATGAAAATGGTTTGTTTACAGTTTCTGTTTCTGCTGACAACATGCCTTTTCTTTGTAATCTTCACAGAGCTGGATTGTTTCAATAAAACCTTTTTTATTGCCTTTCTCTTATCAGTGATTTGAGCACTATTTGTGACAGAATGGTTTATTCAGCTAATTTCATCTTATTTTATGTGAATTTATGTTAATGAACCGGATTATCCATTTAATTAGGTATCAGCGTTCACTTGTGGTTTCCTGTTATGAGGGTTTTGGCTTCTAAAATGTTAGAATATAGAATACTTGTTTATTGGAGACGGAAATGAAAAGGATTTTAAAAATATATATACATACATTATTTTTGTACAGGTCTCGCATACAAGAAACACCAGAGGGCCCATCTACCCCAGTCAGAGCTGAACAAAAGAGCCAGGCCAAGGTGGAAGTTACACCTGATACTGAATCCAAAACAAATATAACCAAACCTGAGACACCACTACGTGATAGCCTGAAAGAGACTCATGAGGGTAACAGGAGAAGTAGTTCTGATGTCAGATTAAAAGAGGAAGAGGAAGAGAAGGCTGATATGAACTTACAGCTGAATCTGTCTGAAAATGAAGATGAAAATGAAGTGGAGCAGGATGTGAATGTGCCAGAGTGCACACAGTATGACCTCAGGCTTGAGGACAGTGAAGAAAACAAGAGCGAAGAGGATGTGTTTGAGAGCATGGAAACTGACATTAGAGATGATAAACCATCTGTTCAGGATGTTGCTGATTGTATGGTATCCAGTGTTATAACCACAAAAAGCAAAAACACAGCTGAAGAAAATTCAACTACCACGTCCAAGTCTCCTGTAGAGGCAGCTCCTGCTCCCAAGGCTCGTTCAACTCGCACAAAGCAGAAGGCATTGCCATCAACATCTGAAGAAAGCGAAGGAAGCCAAACAACATCCAGTTCAAATGTTTCTCAATATCCTGTACCAAAACCGCGTTCCACCCGAACCAAGCAGAAGAAAGAAGTCCAGCTAGGTAGCAGTTCAGATGAAACCAATGTCCAAATGCAGCCACCAAAGGAGATGCCTAAACAGAGAACAACACGCACCAAAACTAGAGCTAGAGAAGCCATGACATCAGAGAGTGATAAGGAAACTTTAGAAATCCATTTATCCACTGAGGAAGAGGTGCCTGTCCCGAGTCCAGACAGCAAGAAAAAGGAAGATTTTTCCAAGCACATCTCACAGACAAAGCCAAAACAGACCGAAATTATGAAAGAGGAGAGAGAATTAGCAGACTCTCCAAAGCCGAGGTCTACCAGGACAAAGAAGCGCCAGGTGAATGAGTCCCCAGCCAAGCAGCCGAGCAGAACTACAAGGACAAAGCGCAGGAAGTTTGAGGAGAGTGAGAATGAAGTCCCAGCACCTGAGAATAAAAGCCTGGTCCTCACACTGTCAGACTCTGAAGAGGAGGAGGTTCAGAATGCTACATATATTAAGGAAGACCAGGCTCCAAAGACCTCGAAACGCGACCACTCTGTGGAGTCCATTTCTTCAGAGGCATCAGTGAAATCTTCTGCCTCCACTGCTTCCTTTGCTTCAGCACAATCAACTAACTCTGTTGTAAATGAGAAGCCAAGTGCTCGTGCTCATGGAGGGCAAGGCCAGAGGGTAACTCGCTCCAAGGTGAGGCAGCTGCCCAACTTGTGTGGGAGCCCCAAAAATACCACTGTCAAGAAAGGAATGTCTCCTGCCAAGAGCAATCCAGCTGGAACTCCAGGGAAGACGAACTTCACCAGAGGATGCTGCACTCCAAAGTCTGAAAGTGGAACACCAAAGGGTATGCGACTGCATCAGGTTGAACCTCATGCCAGAAGTCCTGTGAAATACTCCCCTCGACCTTTTGCCAGGTACAGTAGGCTTTCTGGATATTTTCCTCAGTACATTCAGATATGAAGAAAAATTTTCCTTTTTTTCTCCCTCTCATTCCTCACTCCTTTTCTTCTTGCCTGATTTTATAACATTTTTGCAGCAAAAAAACAGCAGCTTCTGTGCGAGACATGGCAACTGCTTATCAGAATTATGTTGGGGAAACACTTAATGAAACGGAGGAGGTATGTTTGCATTGATCTTTGTTGTGCTCTCATTGTTCATTTCAGAAGTGAAAAATGTAATGTGAATATCTAATAACCTACATGTATCAAATATGAGATGCAATCTAATATGTGCCTTTTTTTTTTCAGATTGTGGCCACACCAGTGCGAGTTACTCGTCACTCTAATGGAAATGGCAGGGTAAGTTTTTTTCTTCCCAAATTATATATATATATATATATATATATATATATATATATATATATATTATTATATATATATATATATATATATATATATATATATATATATATATATATATATATATATATATATATATATATATATATATATATATATATATATATATATATATTTTTTTTTTTTTTTTTTTTTTTTTTTTTTTTTTTTTGAGACAAAAAGTATTTGTTAATTGGTAGGCAGTGCATAAGCTATTTATTTCTAAGATGAGGAATTTTGGGCCTTGAAATAACTCTTGACGCTTCATTGTGAAGATAGTTAGACAGAAGTAAGAAGCAGTGAAAACTCGTCTGTTGTGTGCCATTGCCTGTTAACTGTTGGAGAGTATATTATATATAAAGTGAAAATGGGAGATAATTTTGTATAGATTGTCTCACCTCTCCTCTCTTTAATTGCACTTGTATGATACTGGCTCTTGGCTATTGTTTGTGGTACTGCTCAGTTCAAGTCATTGTTAAAAGACGTACCAAAAAGTTAGGGTATATAGGGGAGAGTCACATTGGCGGTTCTCATCCCTGAACATATTATGTCAACAGCGAGAGAGTTCTACTGCAAAGGCTGCTCGTAAGAGCCTCAAGCGTGCCTTAGAAGTAGCAAGGGCGGCTGAACTCAGAAAGAAAGAAATCCAGGAGGATGATGAGGTGTGACTTTGCTAAAGGATATGGAGTCCAGACTGAGAGGGGTTGTAGTAGGTTGTGGTGCATAGATGGGAAGAGATAGAGCAAAACTTATTTTGAGGGATAAAAACTTGAATCAGGTAGAGGTCTGTTATGTAGTTATGTCCTGGAGGTTTAGAATTTTTTTTAAGTGGTACTTAATGTTCTTTATGCTATTATACACTATGTACTACATGTCAAGTTGTTTAGAATAGTAGATAAGAGTCTAAAACCTGTAACACAGGTATTTAATGCCTAAAATAGTGTTACATTAGTATCTTGTTACTGAATGTAGATTAGTGTAAAAAGAGAATAATTCATAAGAATCTTTCATCTGAAGAATTCATCTATCACAAACTTTATTTTTCTAACAGCAGTCTTTCGGTATTGCAGGTGTAAAACCAGGGTGTTTAGCAATGTATAATAAAATTATCAAAACTAACATGAGCTGATATATTATTAGATAACACCACTGAACAGATGACATATTTATTTTGATAGATATGTGTAATGATATACCCTGTATTTTTTTTCATAATGTATTTATTATTGTTACTTGATCTGCACATAGTTTTATCATCAGCACATTTCCATTTTTAGATTCATTCTAGATTCTTCACATAGTCCCTTTTATATTTGTTTCAAGGATAAAAATCTCTAAGAAAATTATCCTTTACCCCCAGACGCCAGATTCCAGAGGCCCAAGAATAAACCCCGCCCGGACACCATCACCACACTGTCCTCCTGAAAAGGTGAGTTGGGATTGTTCTTTTGAAATTTGTGCCTCAGTTTATTTACTTTTAAAAATCTTTTTTCCTTCTTTTTCTTTTCTTAATTTTTCTTCCTGTCTTTCTGTATGTTGCAGATGCAAATGTGAATTTATTTTCTTTTACAAAAAATAAATAAAAGCATTAAAGAAAAGAAGGAAAGAAAGAGGACCTGGATTGATAATGTATTTCAGAAAGCCAATTATCACTTGAGTTAAAATTGATATAAGTGATATAATGTCTTTGACTGAGCTCTTAATCTTCCTTGTGTTGCTATAAGATAAAAAAAAAAAAAGAAAGAAAGAAAAATAACTGAATATGTGGAAGGTGTTTTTTTTGTGTGTGTGTGTGTATGAGGAGCAATGAACTTTAAGTGTGACGTTTGGAAAACCCATTGCTTATTTCTTGTTTGTGAATTATTTCTATATTATTTTTGCTACTGTCATTTCTTTCCATGTTTCTATGATTAATGAAATTACTTATATCAGTGTCTTATTTGCTCCAGTTTTCATTCATGAATATCTTTCCTCCCATTGGCAGGTTATCCGACCCAAAACCGGAAGTATACATAGTGGCAGCTCGAATTATGGAAGCTCGGGCAGAGTAACCCCCAAAACATTCTCTAGAATTAGGCCTATGCTAGCCTCTTCAAATGAATATGCAAAGGTTCAGAAGGTAAGGTTAGATTTGATTTATTGATTAGTCCTTTAAGTAATTTGTCTGAGTTATTTGGATATTTTGATTAATATTTTTGTGACTCATTTGTGGTTTAAGTATTTGTGAAAAGTTCCTTTTTTTTTGTATTATTTCTGATGTTAGAAATGGTTTCTTTTCTTTTCTTTTTTCTTTTTTGACTTGTCCCTTTCAATTTATGCAAGATAACTTTTACGCTTGATCTACTGTTTTCCCGCTTGCCATCACAAACACTGTGACCAATCCACCACACTATTATCAAGGTCACACTCCATCATTTCCACCGCATGGCACCATTTCTGACTTCCTACATCCCATTGCAGAAGGTCTGGACCCCGACCGAGGGCAACCGTACAAGGGCCATCATGACCTCAGGCACGCCAAACGAGGCCAAACGTATCAAGAACATCGCCAGCGTGTCAACCTTCATCAAGGTGGCGCCCTCCAAGCCGTCACGTGAGGAGATGGAAGAGAAGAAGCATATGGAACTCTTAAGGAAGAGGGAGAGGGAGGAGGAGTCCAGGAGGAAGAAGGAAGAGCTCCTGAAATCTAAGGCCGAGGACCAGAAGAGGTACGTCGTGGTGCCATCGTTATTCATCGTTATTATTTTCATCATTATCACCATCATTGTTGTCTTCTTCATCTTCTTTATCACCATTATTCATCATCATCATCACTACCATTGTTCATCCTCCTCACCATTATTCATCATCACGATCAACTTATTCATTGTAACGAGATATGTTAAACTGGGTTCGAATATATCTTCATCAGAAATACATGTATTCGAAGCCAACTGGATACATCTCTTGTGTTGTGAAGATCTTCCTTGTCATTCATACATTTTCTACAGTCTCATCAATCAACAAGAATGATAATCACATAAAGACATGTTCAAGCACCTGTGATGGTGGCAAAGTATTTATTGGTGGTTCTTACCTTTTCAACAGGCGCAACGAAGAGAGAATGCGTCGTGTACAGGAAGCTAGAGAGGAAAAGGAGAGAAAGGCTGTTGAAGCCAAGGAGCAGCAGGAACGCGAAAGGAAGCTGCGAGAAGAGAGGTTGAAAGAGGAGCAGCAGCGCAAGAAGCAGCAGCTCCTGGCCAAGAAACGCGCTGAAGAGGAGGCCAGGAACCGCAAGATAAGAGAACAGGTAGGCATGAAATGTGTTTCTGCAGGTCTTTTATTTCAAGACTTTTCATGCCTTAATCCTTTCAGGCTTGGCAAGAGGGTTCATTAGGTCCTATACTCAGGATTTTGGTAAGAGACTTAGAATTGAGGTCTGACTTTGATATGGGTGTTGCGTGATGTCTGGCAGCTAATATCTCTGGATGCAGCAGGATGACAGTACACCAAAATTGTGTAAGCATATTGGCCTGATGGACCTGAGATGAACAGCCATACAAAGGGATACTAGTACTCTCATTGTGCACTCAGACATAGACTGTGTGTTTTCGATTGTACTTCTGTAATGCTCTCGTCAAACCAGATTGAGGGGTGCCAGAAATGAGCTAACAGGTTTGTAATTTTAAATTTTAGATGGAGGAGGAAGAGAGGAGGAGACAGCAAGAGGAGGAAAGGAGAATAGAAGAAGAAAGGAAAATGGAGGAGGCAAGGAAAGCTGAAGAAGAAAGACGTGCTCAACTTGCTGAGCAAAAACGTTTGCAAGAAGAAGAGAAGAGGAGGTTAGTTCAGATATCTGTGTTAAACTTAAACTTTTCTGCTTTGTAAGCAGAATAGTTTAAGATTCTGATACTGATTGCTAGTTAAATCCAGTTGAATTTTGTCCTGAAATTTCCAGCATCTGTATTATTACAATGTAGAGGAACTAACCAATTGTTGTGTTTCCTTAGACGAATTGCAGAAGCAGAACGTATTCTTAGGGAACGCAAGGAGATGGAGAATCTGAGGTTACGTGAAGCAGAGAGAATTGCTCAAATGAAAATGGCTGCTAATGTTAAGAAGGTATTTGAAAATTTTATTGTCCTTTTGTGAGTGCTATATGACTTAATGGCTAGCACATTTATTTATTTAAACCATTAACCATTATCATTCTGTGTGAAAGGGATGGGAAGGATGGAGGATGACAGAATAAATGATTGGAATGAAACAAAATGCCAAGAAGAGGAAGATCCTTTTGCAGCTTTCATTATATCACATTAATGTATTAAATCCCCTTTTAGGCTGGACTGAATGACACATACAACGCCAACGACAACAAAGAAAACAGCAGCAACCTCAACGGCACTTTCACGAAGTCTAGTGGCCAAACCAAGGCAAGCAGTCAAGGGAACTCTGGGCGTTCAAATAGCTATGAAATGACTCCTGAGATCAAGAAACCAAAGAAGCTTGTTAATGCCAACAACTACGACATTGGTGACATTAAGAGTGATGACTCGACAGATGATGAGTCGGCCCCTAAGAAGAGCATTCCACATTGGGCTCTAGGTAAGTTCTCAGTTGACAATTTGCATGGAAAAAATTACATGGGCTATAGAGGAATAGTTATGATATGTAAATTTGAAGTTCCAATCCAACTTTTGAAGGAAATGGTAATGTCATCAAAGTATTTAATGAAATCAACTAGTATTAGGCCTACTTGAGTGGTGGTGACTCAGATATGTGACTTCTGCTCCCAGCCCCCACAAACACTTGTGTATGGTGTCAAGACTGCAATATTATCATCTTCATTAGCAGTTTTGCAGTTTTGCCTTTTTCCAGTGTCTATTTGTCATTTGATATGCAGTAACAAGACAGTAATAGGCTATTTTCCTTGCACTCACTGATATCCTCTCTCTATATAGTCCATAACTGTGCAGTACCAATAAGAATAATTAACATTTTGTTATTTGTTAATTTTTTTTATATTTATGTAATATTCAACTTTTAGTAATACACTGTGCTGGTGCCAGTCATGATGAGTCATTCCTATCACCCTGGCCTTCAGCCAAAATTCTCATGATTACATGTTCCTTTCACCCTGGCTCCTGCCCATATTTTTACATGACAGCATATTAAATTGGCTCTCAAGCCAATTTTTTTCACAAGGTGTTGGTCACATCACCTGGATCACAGTGGTTGATAATAACTAGATTTTGAATCTGAATAAGGGTTAAATCAGAATCTGTATAAAGATAGTTTTTGAAATATAAGTATCGCATTGTCTCAAACTAAAAAGATATATTTACATTCCTATGCCCTTTGGATGGCATGTATATTGCGCTATACCAAGATTAGGGATGTGTTTTCTCAGTTTATAGCCTTTCTATCATGTTGACTGCACCATGGTGGCTGGATACTTTTATGACAATTTAGACAAAAAAATATTTCGAAGTTCTCATTTTCTCATACATGCTGGTACAAAAATAACAAACCAGATCTTTATTGGTACATTTATGGCATGAATAAATACATGCTGGTTACTCATACATTTAAGTTGGCCCAGAAATATTCCATTAATAGAAGAAACTGAGATTTGGAGTATATTGATTTTTTTGTTGTTGTCCATACTGTTTTTCTATTAAATGCTGGTAATTCACAGTAAAGGTGTAAGGTTCAAGTAATTATCCAACTTCATCCATTGCCACTGGGAATGTGTAATATCCTGTATATTTGCTCATTTGTCAAGAAGTCAATTAGCATATCTGTGTGACCTCACCAGATTTCCCATTTCCTTGAGTTTTTTTGGATATTTTTTCCCAAATGCTTTTGATATTGATAAAATAATGGTGTGACCATGGATATCATCCTTGAAGGCAATGGGTTAAGAGTACATATGACCCTTTAGCCCAGTAACTGTGGCCTCCATCATTTCTTGGACAATAGCTACACATAGTTTCAACTGTAGATAGTTCATAATTGGATATTAGAAATCCAGATTTCTTCATTGTTCAGCTCACAGGTTAACTTGCCTCTAAATACACAAACATGCTCACACTCGTAGATTCTATCATCCATCATCCCATATCTCCTTCCACACTTCCTAATAAATGTCATAATCAGGGTATGAGTAGCACCTGAAAATCAACTTTGTCATCTCTCCTTCCAGGGTCTCAGCTGAAGCTGTCTCTCATCAACCAGGAGTACAACCCACCGGCCATGGACGGCATATTCCCCCCAGAGGAGCTTCTCACCATGCCTGATCTCAGCCAAATCTTCTCCATCCAGCGCAGGAGATTCTTCAAGCGCACGTCCTCAGCCATTTGGAATACCCCACCTTCAAAGCTGTTTGAATCATATTGATTTAATAAGAATATTTTTATTGATTAGATGTAGGGTTTTCATCTTAGTGTCTACTTTTTGTTTTTCTCTGTGAATGCTTGATGTGAGTGCGAATGAAGGCGTAGATATCCTGATTTTATTTTTATTTACATCTGATTAAATGGTGTATAGTATGTATGAATATTATTCTTGACAAGTCGTCTTTGTATGTATTTTCTTTAAAGAAAATTATTAGAGACTTTCTTTTTTACTCATTTTGGGACATTCGAAATTAATATTACCAATTGGCAATCGGTAATTTTCACTCATATTAAAACATTTTCTTTCCAAATACTTCTGTGTCCTCTTTCCTCCCAACCTCTCACATGTTTCGCACATTTAAGCAAAGGGAAATGTTTGCCCATTGTTGTGTTATGTAAGGAAGAGAAGAGGGCAAGAAAATATCACTTCAAGACCTGTCATTACCTGTAAATATGTATTTCTTATAGGGCCTTAATCACAGTTAGATTGTCATCTTTATTTTTTGCTCTGACCATGATCTGAATGAGAATAAGAGACTTTAAAAAGGGAGGGATCAATGAAAGAATATTGTTAATCTTCTCTGTGCTGTATTGGAATAAGTTGCATACTCCATATCTTTCTCCTTGTTCTTCCTGTCCCTTTTTTTCCCTCTCCTTTTCCCTTTCCTTTTTCCTCTTTCTTTCCCTCTCCTTTTCCCTTTCCGTCTCCCTCTCCCTCTCCCTTTTCATCACCTTCCTCTTGGTATTTATCATGGCAAGAATCATCATCACCTTTTCATCATTTAGAGACATGACCATTATGTGTCTGTTTTTTTCACTTAATGGGTAGTTTTACAAGAAATAGGTGTTCTATTTAGAGCTTTACCATTATTATTATTTTTACTTTGATTTATTAAAGTGAATTTTGAAGTTATCCAGTCTCAGCAAAAGGATTTTTGTAATCTAATAAATAGCATCACCTTCACACTAAAGTGTGTAGTTGCCTGTGTAAATAAAGAATAATAGGTGTCAACATGTTTTTTTATCCCAAAAATTTAATGGAAAAAAAAATCAAGGTCTTCAAAGTAATTTTTCATATTACTTGAAATAAAGATTGGATTGAGTGTAAGAAATCTGGATTTTTTTTTAATAGACACACACGGACACACACACATACACACACACACACACACACACACACACACACACACACACACACACACACACACACACACACACACACAACACACACACACACACACACACACACACACACACATAATATAATATATATATATATATATATATATATATATATATATGCATATATGTATGTATATTAGTAGAAATTCTGCTTTTATGTAAAGTATTTTGTGTTGTCTAAATCCAGAAAAAAAGAATGATTGAAGGATTAGCTTGAGTATAATAAAATATGAGAAATAGTTGTCTACTGAGACTAGCAGTAAAAAGAGAACCTACAGAGCTCAGATGTGCACGTGTGTGTATGCATGTATTGTGGTCTCTGTGGATATGAATGATGCAAGTATGTGTTATTGTAAGGGAGAATAGTGAAAGGTTGAGTGAGTGAGAGAGAATGTGTGTGAGTGAGTGAGAGACTAAAAGTGAATGAGACTGAGTGGGTGAGTAAGAGACTGGCTGAGTGAGAGACTAAATGAGTGAGTGACTGAGTGAATGTGTGAGGGATGAAGTGAGTGTGTGAGGGATTATACGTATTTTTCAACTGCATAATTGACGAAAAGCATTTACATCGCCGACCCCTATGTTTGAATTTGGCGCCATTTGAGGCCTATTCGTAAGTTCGCTTTCCATAGATAAGATAAGATAAATAATCATCACTCTTAGCTCCTCTCTTGGTCTTTGTGTCATAGCTAAGGCATGGCGAACGACAAGTTGATAAATCTGCTCTTTATAATAAAAAAAAAAGATTATCATAAACAACAAAATCCGGTATTTCAGTTTTCAAAAATCTTTAAAATGAATATCACACTTTCTTCGACAAACCCACATTTAGAAACAAACTAGAAAAAATATCCCAGTACATGAAATCATCTCACCGAAACTTCTTAGTGCAAAAAAAAACCCACACAAGGTAAGAAAATAAACCAAATAATACAAGAACAGTCTTTCGAAAGGTGCACTACCATGGTTCTGCTCCGGCAACCTTGCGGTCTACGAAGGAAAATTTCTCAAACTTTCTCTATTTTCCGCGAGTTAAAAGCCCAGAGAGCGAGCAGTCACGTAGCCATGGATCCCGTCGAGAGTGCCAAGAAAGCCGCCGCATTTAAGGCCGTTGACACGCACATAAAGGTGGGGAAAATGGAGGTTTTATGAGATCTTTCCTGACGTCGAAAAGATAGAGAAGCCGAGAAGCGATTCCTAATTAATGTCAAATCGGCAAATTATTTAAGAAATTATTTAAGGAGATGTATGTTAGGATGTTTAAAGGATGTTAAAGAGATATTACGGTAAATACCATCTTGATTTATCTATTTGCCTGGATTGCGTTTTGAGTTTTGTCGTATAGTTGCAATAAAATAAATAAAAGTTTTGTCATAAAATAAATAAATAAAGTTAAAACGAAATGATTAAAGTTAGAATGAATAAATAAATAGAATTGTCATAAATAGATAAAAATTGTCATTAATAAATTAAGTTAAATGTCAAAATAAATAAAATTGTCTTAATATAATAAAATTGTTATAAATAAATAAATGAATAAAACAAATTGCAATAAATAAATACTGACTGTAGTTTTAGGCGCGGTTACACCTTTGAGTCATAGCGAGACAAGTCAAAGGAAATCATTATGAGTTACGATTCGCTACTTTAATTTAGCGTTGATATCTATGGAACTCTGAAATGAGCGTTTACACCGGGCGAGTAGGCCTCAGGCGAGCCGAGGCGGTATTTTTCGTACTGAGGGAAGAATGGAACTGGACCTATTTTTGCCTTAGTCGCAGCGAGGGAGCCATGGCTTGAGACCCATGCAATTAGAGTTCCTGATGAATTAAGTGCAAAAGCGCCCTGCAATGTATGATCCCAGCGACCACAGCCACAGAGATTGTGATGCCATAACTTCGTTGTGGAAAGAGATTGCTGCTGCCGTGAATATTACTAGTAAATAAGGGTTTTGGTCGCTGTAATCTGGAAACTTACCAAAACTATAAAATCCATTCGTAGACCATTCGACCACGTCATTCCAGCTCCACCTTGAGAAACATTATTATTTCAGGATATGAGGAGCTTCTATAGATTCTGTTGCAGGCTTCGTGTTTCTTGTTCCTGTCAGACCTGAGTTTGAATGCTGGGAATCCAATAAACCTTGAAATCAGTCGAATTGTTACTTACATCATGCAGATATTAAGTTATCTTTTCTATGATTCAAAGAGGAATGCATTGAGACTGAGGTCCAAGGGGGGGGGTGATAGCCACATGATTGGTATGTCTTACAGCAGTCACTTTGATCATCCCTGCTGTGCTCATGCCAAAGCAAACAAACTACTTTCATATGTATTCTGGGAAAATAAGAGTTTGAACTGAGCTTGAACTGGTCCCTTGTTTAGAGATGGATTGCATGGAGGCCTGCAAGCTTTACTTTGTAGATTACACAGGGCATGGTGAAGCTTATGACCTTTGTCAGAGCACTGATGGGTGTGGCAGCCAGAGTGATTACGTCATGCATGGCACATAAACATTGCAAAAGTTTGTGTCTGCAATCTGAAACTGCTGTATCTAGACGGATTTGATTTGCTGTTATTGTTATTATTGTTATTATTATTTTTGATAATATTCTCATTGTTATTGTTATGATGATGGTGATGATTTATTGTGTAAAAATATTTTTATACTCGTGTATCACAAAACCCTGTTTTTTCTCCCAGAATGACAACAGAGTAGGCATAGGGAGTGGATCAACTGTAGTTTATGCAGTGGAGAGATTAGGTGAGTTTTAATTTCATTGGCATTTAGTAAGGACAGTAAATGATATTTTTAAGCTTGAAACTTGATAAACTTAAAATTTGAGAACCATGCCCATAAGATTGATTATATTTTGTTTTTCTTTCTGTGTATTACATCTGATTATAATGGCAACATTTCTAAGTGCTCTGTAAAGAAAAAGTAATATTTGTTACAAATTTCATCTGATTATAATGGCAACATTTCTAAGTGCTCTGTAAAGAAAAAGTAATATTTGTTACAAATTTGTTTACTTTCATGGACTAATTAAAGATTTCAGCAAAATGCCATAATGTACTTGTGAAAGGGTTAATAGCTTAGTTATAGTCAAAATGGAGGCTGAAAAAAGATGTCAGTACATTATTGAAGTGATTTTTGGGTTATTTACATCATTCTCCACACAGCTGAACGAGTCCACAAAGATGGCTTGAAGGTTGTTTGCGTCCCCACCTCTTTTCAAGCTCGTCAGCTCATTGTAAACAATAATCTGACTCTCTCTGATCTCGAGATAACTCCAGAGGTAAGCTTGCTGCACAGCTGTTGTTTTGTTGACATGTGATATTGACAGATGTGAGATTGGAAAGGGATAGCTTTGTCTTGTTGAATTTTTGTCAGCCTTTCTCTCTCTCTCTCTCTCTTTTTTTTAATAATATATTGATCTTTCATTTTGAAATATTAATTTCAGATATTTTATATTGCTTAATATGTAAAGTGAAACCAAAAATTGTAACATGATAGTCATTTTAAGTATGCTGCCTCTTCCTCTCAAAACTGTGGCCTAAGCATCACTCTCCGTGTCTAGTTGGATGTCGCAATTGATGGTGCTGATGAAGCCGACGCTGACTTGACGCTGATCAAAGGGGGTGGAGGATGCCAGCTGCAGGAGAAGATTGTGGCAGCTGCGGCAAAACTCTTTGTTGTGATTGCAGACTACAGGTAAGGTTTGTGTTATAAGGTGTAATGGTATTTGTAAAGGGATAATGGAGAATTTGTATTTTTTTCTTGTGTATGCCATACTGAATTCTACTTCATTTTATGTTATTTGTACTTGTTTTTTTTATAGATTATATCCATCATTTTTATGTTTAAAAATGTTCTCATGCATAAAATATACCTTGAAAATAAAATTGCATATATAAAAAACACCTTTACATTCCTATGGCTCTGTTTACAGAAAATGTTTAAGGGGTCCCCATTGAAGTAGTCCCCATGGCATACCGACCTGTTCAGTTGAAGATTGAGTCGACATTGGGGGGAAAGGCTCTCCTTCGGCAGGCGAAGTCCAAAGCTGTAAGTAGGGAAACTTTGGCAAAAAGTTTTCCCTGTTACTCTTGAGAATTTCCATGGGCAAGGAAACCTTTGAGATAGTTTCTTGTTTTGTGTTACTGTACTTTATCATGCTAATCTTTTGTTCATAGTCCAATGTCTGATGTCTTTTTCTGATTGAAAGCCTTTGTAAGTCATATTTTGCTTATTCAAAATATTACATTCATCATCTTGGTATTCCAGAAGGTTATACTTTGAGAAGAAGATTAGATCATACTTTAGAATTCTTATTTAGTTACTGGTGGTTTGAAAAAAAAACTTAAACATTCAGTTTTGTTGGTTTAAATTCTGTGATGTGAAAGAGAAATTGATTGTATTATATGAATAGCATGGAAAAGTTGAATAGCTGCTATTATATTGTTATAACTAAGCTTGTTTTAAGTGTTGTGTTTTCTCACTTCTAATCTCCAGGGTCCAGTGGTGACAGATAATGGTAACTTCATTTTGGATTGGGTATTTGATGGGAAACACAACTGGAGTGAAGTTAATCAACAGATCATGATGATACCTGGTGAGTTGTCAGTTGGAATATACACGTGATAGTTATGATTTATTTACTTATCTCTTGTGATTTTAATGTAAAATGCAGACATCCATTTGGCATTTGTACTCTTTGTTTTAAGTATTATTTATGTGAACCATATTGATTGCAATGTTATATATACCTAAAGAAATTATTTTTCCCCTTTATAGGTGTTGTAGAGACTGGTCTATTTGTGAACATGGCCAAAATTGCATATTTTGGAATGCAAGATGGTTCTGTTAAGGAGCGTGCTGTTTAGAAGAATCAAGATGTTGGTAAACCTGTCAAATGCTGATATTGAAGTCGCAAACATTCCATTTAACTTTATTTATAATGATGGGGATTAGTGGACACGTGCTGGATCAAACTGAGCTTTTTTTCTTCCCTTTTCTTAAATGCAGAAAAAACTACAATATGTCCTTGTGCTTGTGTTTATATATATATGCATGGAAATAAAGGGAGTCCATGACAGTATAAGAATTTTTCAAGCTTGATTTTTTTCATGCTATTGTACACAATTTTAATCCTGAATATGGAAAAGAGTATGGAAATCTTATTGTTTTGTGTTCAGAGTTTCGAAAGTGAAAAGACAGGTATATGATATGTATATATTTGTACTGTGGTAAATGTTTGTTGTCATAGCTGTGTCCACACAAATATAAAGCTGGTATATATTTGTCATGATCACTTTGAATCTGAACACCCTTTTAGTTCATTCATAACAGATGAAAATGTTTTATGTCATAAATCTTTGTAAAAGATATATATATAGAGAGAGAGACAATGGGTATATACTATTTGACTTCAGTTACTCCAATGTTATTTTGAATATGAAATGATATATTCAAAGTTTATGTTTTTGTACCACAGAATAAATATAAAATTTGTTGATATTTAATTTTTGATGGACCTTTTGACTAAAATTTGGTTATTACTGGAAAGATCCTGTGGAAGTGTTTCTAATGACTAATGCTATATACATGGAAAAGCAAATATGAATAAGAAATTATATTTATTAAGAATAGAGCATATTGGGGAGAAGTTACCATATAGTCAGTGAAACCAAATAAGTACTGAGCTTACTTGCAAGTGTTACCTTCCACAAACTTTGTGTGAGATATTCTTATTTAAGTATGATGAAAGTAGAAATTTCTTAGTTTTCTAATATATAATGATTTAGTACATTGAAAAATGAGGATAGATTAATTCCCACTCTGATGCATCCGACAAACTACATGGCTGAACTATTGCACTAGAAATTTTACATAAATTGAACTACAGCTCAGTTTCGGTTTTACTGTACTAAACTGCAGCTAGCCTCATCTTTACTGCTTAGTTTACTGTCACGTTACTTTGATTTTATTGATATAATGTGATATTCAACGGACATCAAATTCGATGATCTTGTTCATTGATTTTGAATATTTATAAGAAAGCCCTGACTCTTATTATTATGAACCATCACAATACGTTAAGACAGTCGAGAATGGCACCACTCTGAGTGCCCGGGAAAACCTGTGGATTCATTGGCGGATAGACATGTAATCTTTGTTTTGAAACCGCCCGCACTCAGCGTTCTAATTACGACGCGCTCTCGCTCTCTCTCTCTTTATCTATCTATCTATCTATCTCTCTATATATGTATGACTATACATCTATCAACCTACCTATATATAAGTATACACGTGTGTGTGTATGTGTATGTGTGTGTGGATGTATGTATGTTTATGCAGGCCTTGCTAGTCCCCCTAAGAGATCCGTACTTGCAGCGAGTTATACAGTTGTTAGTTCTGGGAGGAGGGCAATTGTCTCTTCCACCCAGCAAGTACGGCAGGCTGCAGGTCCCTCCGGGTTGCCGACGTTGACGACCGCTGGGACTTAGAATGGGAGCCGCGGTCGAGGTCTATATAAGTACTTATATAGACCTTGGCCGCGGTTACCCTTCCCGTCCGTCAACCTGGCCTGAGGTTTGTGGTGTATAGCCCACAGGACCCCCACAAGTGGATTATGGGACCTCCTGTCAGCATTCCCTCACTATATGGGGCAACGTCGGCGGGGTGGCAGAGGTGGCGTCCACCCGGAGCGACTGCCCGAGGCTTGGCATCAGGCGGGCTCATTAGGGTGAGGGCTTGGGACGTCTGCTCTTTGCGACAGGACGATCGGTTGCCACTACTGTCGAGGGAACTGCTGAACAAGGTCTATATAAGTACTTATATAGACCTTGCTGCTGAAAGTGGAGGTGGCTGCTGTCTCGGAGGTGAGAAGACCTGGCAGCGGCACGATCAGTGTGGGTGGATTCACCTATTACTGGTCGGGCCGCAGTGATGGTCACCGTCTTCAGGGAGCAGCCACAGCCATCTCCAGCAGACTTCAGCCCTCGGTAGGAGAGGTTACTCCGGTTGATGAGCGTATAATGGTATTGTGATAAAAAATTGCCTTTGCCTTCATGTTTCTTATTGCTCTGTGTGCTCCTACTTTGTAAGTCATAATTTGCTTATTCAAAACATTACTTTCATCATCTTCGTATTCCAGAAGGTTATACATTGAGAAGAAGCTTAGATCATACTTCAAAATTCTTATTTGGTATAAAACTGATAACATAGCATGCTCATCTTTATTCGGCGATTCAATATTATCCATAATTCAATCCAACATTTCACGTGACAGAACTCCAACATACAAAACCGCAAACAGAGATCGCTACGTCAGCACACCAGACTCCTCGTCAGCATTTTGTTTATCAGAATCCATTTCGGTGTCCTTGTCTTCGTCGTCCCGGTTGAAAGTCTCGGTCAGCATGTCCATGATCTTGTGGAAACTTGGGAGACCTGAGGAAAGGATAAGTGCCATTGATATTACTATTTACACCTGTTTCAGTCTATATACAATTTATGTGTATATGTATGTATATGTGTGTATGTATGTATGATATATATATATATTATATATTATATATATATATATATATATATATATATATATATATATATATATAGACACACAAAGCAGTAACAACAACAGATCTTCACTGAATGGCTACAGCTGATTGCAACTAACTTCTCTCCCTGTTACTCCTGCAATGTTGCTGCACTGCTGGTGACACAGCTGCAGGATCCTTGTGTTCAGTTCCTCTTCTTCCAGATCATCCTCGTCTCTCTCGTCCTCCTTGGCCTCGTGGGGCGCGTCGTAAAGCACTGTAGAGGGACATTTTTCGAGTGAAGTGTATTTCGGTGATCGGTAACATGTACTGGTTGATAATCTTTTCTAACTGGGTATACACATATGTACACACTCACTCATTCTCCCTTCCTTCTCTCCTCTTCCTCTCCTCCCCTCTCTCTCTCTCTCTCTCTCTCCTTTCTCTTCTCTCCTCCTCTCTTTCTCTCTCTCTCCTTTCCTCCCCCCTTTTTTCTCTCTCTCTCTTCTCACTCACACATACGTATACACCTATATATATATACATACTGTATTTCACCATATCTCTCTATCAACAACCCACCTGTTTTATCATTGGTGTTGCGCCAGTGCTTTCTCGCCACCTCTGCATTCAGCTGTCTCCCTTGAACCACTAGTGTGTTCAGTTTCAGCACGGCGTTCAGGGCCACTTCTAGGCTGCTGTACCGGACAAACCTACGAGATTCATGAGGGGGAAAAAGGTATTGGATGTGGTTAAAGATTGGTTGAGATGTCTGATATTTCTCGCTCTCTTTTTCTTTTTCGTTTTTATTTTCTCTCTTTCTTTCTTTTTACACACACTCTCTCTTTGTCGCTCTGTATGTATTTTCTCACGAAACATACATAAATACATAGCGCACACAACAAACACACACAGACAGACACACACACACGCAGATCGACAATAGATAAACAAACGGACAATAGATATATACATAAATACTTAGAGACAGATGGCCATGCAAACCGAAATATACAAACACCAGGGACGGGAGAGAGAACTCACAACCTCACCCATAAATGAAGTGCAGAAAATTCCCGGCTTTTTGCGGGATCTCGACCTCCACGACCTCGCCGAAGTCGTTGCAGATCGAACGCAGTTGGTCCGAGGTCGTGGCCGGAGGGAGGTTTCGGACGACCACAGTCACGGTTTGGGGGTTCCGTTGATGAGGGATGATATTGATAAATTCTTATGACGTCACGGGTATCTAAAAACTTATATAAAGTCCATGGTGTGTTTTTTTTGTATTTAGATATTCAACAAAATGGTGTCTGGGGCTGTCTGAAGACGATGAAGAATAGAAGTCAATTCATTTTATTCTAATAATGTATATAAAGTCAACGATGTCTTTTTGGTAAATAATATTTCAATAAAAGATGTATGACGATTACCTTTCTCTTCATTGTAGTCTTAATTTTCTTTATCAAATCAGGATGATTGTGTAAAGAAAGCAGACATGACAAACTAATGATTTTTTTCTATACATGCGTGTTAATTTGCACGGAGAAGGCTAGATCAGTAGCAACTCGAGGTGTCATGACGCCTGATTCTATTCTCTGGAAAAAAAACAACAAAAAAAACACGTGGGGTTTATTTTGATGACGTCACAAAAGTTACGGATGCTTTGTGAATATGGTCGATCCTTTTGGTCTTTAAATTTTTCATAAAAGATGGAAAATAATGTTTTTAGTGGTTATATTTTCCTTGAACAATCGTCATAACAGACACCAAGACACCTCCTCGAGTTGCTGCTGATCTAGCCTTCCCCGTTAAAATTCACGTAAAAGTAAGAACAGGGAATGATAACAGACGCTAACTTACTCTCACTGAGAAACGTTTTGCTGTTCCTGCCATTTGCTCTTTCGTTCTTGATATCTTCCGTCTTCTCTTTCGTTTTTTTTAAATATTTTATTTTGTCTGCGGCTGGATTTGAATGTTTGTGTGTGTGTGTGTGTGTTCTTTCTGTTTTGTTTGTTTCTTTCTAATTATTTTCTTTCTCTCTTTCTCTTGGTCTACCTTTCTATCTCCGTTTCTCTGACTCAGTATTTCAGAGCCCGATCGCCTATCAATAATGTATTTCCTTCTTTTCACTTTTTTCACATTTCTGATCCAAACAAACACACGATTCTTTACCTAAAATATATTTTCTTTTCTCTCTTCTTCAACATCCTGACACAAAGATATATTTCACCCTGTTTCAACTTGTCCAATGGACTTTAATCTGCTTTATATAGTACGCTGATTTATATTTATGATCCTTTGGAAAAAATTGGCTTTAGGCTTTATACCATACCTTAGATTATATATATTTTTCAATACTTTGGTATCTTTTATGTGGCTTCAGCTTTGTAGTTTTTTTCGGATTTGGAATATTTTGATTTTGGGGGGTTTATAGTTACGATGCCTTGGCTTATATCACACTGGCGGTTCCGTTACGCTTTTCAGACTACAGTATTCACACTCGACTCACCCTGAACTGAAGGTGGAGGGTTTGGGTCTGGGATATGATAAGGTGATAAGATTCTGGTTATCAGTTCCTCATTCTCCTCCTCTCAT